TCATTCAGTATCGTTAATATTATCCCTTACATCGTTAAATTAATTATATTATTCCAGTTCGTGGAAAACTGAACGGATTTATTTGGTTTTTTTTTTCCTTTTTTGTTTCTGCGACATTAGAATATAATATTTTTAAATTAATTAGTTAGAGTTAATAAATTAATGAATATGAATAAATAAATAAATTATTTTACTCGTCGTTGTGATTAATATTTACGCAACAACGAAAGATATAAATATTTTTATAAACTTGTTCGCGATATTAAATTTATTTCTAAAAAAAAAAAAAAAAAAAAACCTTTTTTAAAAAAAAAAAATTTTTTTTTTTTAAAAAAAAAAAATTTTTTTAAAAATTTTTTCGCAATTTAAATTTTTTTTTAAAAAAAAAAAATTTTTTTAAAAATTTTTTCGCAATTTAAATTTTTTTTTAAAAAAAAAAAATTTTTTTAAAAATTTTTTCGCAATTTAAATTTTTTTTTAAAAAAAAAAAATTTTTTTAAAAATTTTTTCGCAATTTAAATTTTTTTTTAAAAAAAAAAAATTTTTTTAAAAATTTTTTCGCAATTTAAATTTTTTTTTAAAAAAAAAAAAAAAAAAAAACCTTTATTAAAATATAAAACTTCTGTTTCTCGTAATTTTATTTGTCACCAAAAAAACCCATTACTTTTATATCAAATTAATAAAAAACGCTAGAATGGAAACAGGCTGCAAAAAACTGTTAATTATTTTGAATTTGGTCTGCATTTCAAGGTACATAGGACGTGACATCAAAGAACGTGTATCTATTTTTTTTTTTTTTTTCTATCTTTCGAGACTGAAATATTTTCAATTTACAAAAACACAAATGCGTCGGTAGAATTAATACACGCGAGAACGTACCGTGTTGCTCAATTTCTAACGACGTACGTCTAAATTTTCATCACAAAAAAAAAAAGGTGCGAATTAAAATTTTATTATTCAAGGCAACGAATATAGAGAAAATATAATACCACAATTTTTGACTTTTCGACTACTTGTCTCCCCGAAAATTTAAAAATCCCCAATTTACGAATCTTCAATAGGGGGATTTTTACAAACTGCTGATGCGTAAAACGATCGTACAATTGTTTATCTGGTCGAGTGATTCAGCATGAGCCAGACTTTCTGGATAAACGATACAAAATACAGAGTGATAAAAAAACCAAACACGCAATACACGTACACATTTTGCGCAATCGAATTGGGTGTAAAAACAGAAGGAAGAAAATGGGAAAAAAAAAAAAAGAAAAAAAGAATGAAATTAAAAACCAAAAATAAAATTGCCAAAAATAAAAAAAAAATAAAAAAAGAGGAACGCAAAAATACAATGTTGTCGAAACAAGAATAGAAAAGCGTCGAAAACGAAAATATTTTGAAATACAATCCTCGATTTCGAGGTTATTTTATTTTATTTTAAAAAAAAATATATATATATATATCTGCTTTTTATAATTTTATCTCGCAATTCCCTCGCGAGCAAATTATCGAATTTACTCGGAAGTGGAGAAGACCTCGTCATTTTTCCTCCCGTAACTGAAAAATGTAATTTAATGGTCGACTATAAATTCTTATATACATCATTGCGGCTCGTACAGTCACGCGTCGTACAACGCTCCGTCCCCGTTAGTCTCGTGCTTGACATATATGTATACACGCGATAGAGGCATGAACTTCGTACACCGCACACCGGTACGAGGTTGGTTGCAGCCGATGTCGCCTATCAGCTCGATGGAGGAGTCATCGATCAAACCTAAGCGAGCGTGGTAACGACGGTGAAACTTGGGAGACAATATCCTGCTTCAAGGTGGATAACTCGTTAAAGGAGCACGTTAATGGACAGAGCATCTGGTTGCCAATATAATTGGCCAAAGATTCACTGCCTGGATCCATTCACCGTATTATGAATTCTACTCTTTGATGTTTGTAAACGAAACAAAGCGTGTAACTACTTCTGCTTTTCGTTTCGATATCGACGCAAAATTACAGTTGAAATTGGGGGAATAATTAAAACGTTGGCTGTTTAAGAAACTTTGTCTTTCGAATATCGAAGTTATAGACGATGGAGAAACATTTGTTTCGAGTTTTAGAATTTTGTGATGTGTACTGTTCACCGATGGAAAGAAGGAATGAGGGTCTCTTAATTTGGAAGGAAATATGTTTGTCATATATACTAATCCAAAACGATGATCTGTATCGAAACCTCGATGCATTAGCGTATGCATTAGCATAAAATCCAAAGAATTCTTTCGTATTGATATAATATAAAAATTTTTTTATCTCTCATCAATATATACGTAGATTTATTATGATTTGTAACGATAATTTATAAATGTAATTTTATATTCGAATAGTTAAAATAATAACCGTACGTATACGAATAAATTCATAAATAAACAAAAAAATTATCTCGAATCATTTGTACCAATTTATGCAAGAATATAAATATTAAGGAAACGTTTGCATTCTTTTGCAACTATAGCTGACACGATATACAAATTATTCTATTTTATGTGCGCATATGTACATTCAACAATTTGAATAACAGAAGTAATAGATATATTAATATTACATCAAAATAATTAATAATTTCGAAAATATTTCAGCTTCCAGTCTTATATATAATATAATTTTTACGAATGTTTGAATATTCAAATTATATTTCTTACTGCGTGTAACATTGCGTCTGAAATGAAGAATAAGCAATCCTAAAGACTGTGCCCCTCTCGAGATTTTTTTCTAACATTGAGCAGTAAATAGACATAGGACAAAGAATCTTACAACTCGATTTCGAAAAAAAAAAAAGGAAATAATATACGGTCATTCAGTAAAAAACAGCAACGTATTGGTCGATCCAAGGGAAAGAAACTGTCCCGAAACTTCCGCCGCTTCTAACGCACCAATATAACATCTGTAAGACTCTAAGACTCTAAGGGACACGCATGGATGTTACATACCTACCTTCCTGGCAAGGAAGAAGATGGGTGGCGAGAGTGGTCTTCCGTACATTTATTCGGGACAGAGAGGCTTTAAGGGAGGGAGGAAGGACAAGGCAGAAGGAGAAAGAGGGAGGAAAGCGGTAAGGAGGGAATTCGAGCTCTTAATTAGCTACAATTACCGCAACATAGCAATGTCGAGCGGATCGCCTCAGGCTTATCCGCCTCTCCTTTCATTCCTACCTGTACACCCCGGCCCACCTTTTCCTCCTCTTGCTCCTTTTTCCGTTATCCTCGCCATCGTCCCGCGTAACCTCGTCCTACGATTCCCTTCCACCCCCGTACCCCCCTTTTCGGAACCCCATCTCCGGGCTATTTCCCGTAAAACAGCCAATTTGCCAAGCCAATTTAAACTAATATGCGGAGGGAGGGGAGTGGGAATAAAAATTCGCTGTTCGCTCTTTTGGAATTTTCCGACTTGTTAATAACGGTTGCGCATTCCTTATTCCTCTCCTCCGCCCCCCTCTATCCCCTTATTTTTCCTGTTTATTATTATTGTTGTTGTTGTTGTTATTATTATTGTTATTATTATCATTGTTATTATTATATTATTTGTTATTCCTGATCGAGATGAAAATTCGAAAAACAGGAGGTGATCGGGACGAGTGGTGGTGGTGGTGGTGGTGGTGGTGCGCACTCTCGTCATCGTATTTCCCTGTTGTTCCCTGGGATTTTAGTTGAGGATAATGAGGAATCTTATCTAATATAATGGGTACAACCTGGCCTGTATCGATATCTTTGAGAGGAAACTTTTGTTGCTCGTTCTGCAAC